GCTGACGCTGGCCTTTCTCTTGTTTGGCTACCAGCAGAAAGCCAGGGTGGGGAGAGGAGGAGGAGCCAGAGGCTTAATCCTGAGGAAGGAAAGCTTTTCCAGTGAGTACAGTTGGTGGGTCCTCATTTTTCTGCTCCTTTATTTAAAACAGGAAATAACGGGAGGAAAGGAGAGATGGGCAAGTTTGAGGGCTGTGCAGCTGGGATCTTTGCCTTTTGATTTGTTCTAAGAAGGCTGTCCTCTTTAAACACATCTGTTCGAGTCAAACGCATTCTGGTAATCTCAGGCTTCAATCGGAAACTTCTGGACTGCTCGAGAGATCCTAGTACCGGCCCTTAGGGCCCTTAGTAAGCACTCTGGGGTGCATTCTCTTCTGTCCCCACAGGATCATGAGCGGAGTAAGGTGGGAAACCACTCCCACAGACTAGTAAGGAAAGACTTGAGACTCTTTTGCCTCTTTCGGCCTTTGTACTTTGCATATTGCCTCTTCTTGAGGTGTGTGAAAAGGAAGGATTTGATGGACGGACGCTATTTTTAACAGGAGCAGGGATAAAGGGGGTATTATCTCTAATGCTGGGAAGGTGACCACAGCAAGCATTCGGTAGTGGGAGGGAGGGGCAGCCTTGGATTCCAAATGCCGATTGATGAGTCCTGTCTCCTCTTGGTGTCAGTTGCAACTCCGGTGGGTACCTTCTGCATGCCCTTGGCCTATTGCCTTCACTTGAACTGCCACGAGCTGCTGTCTAGTGACTCTTCACTTTTCGATGTCTTTAAGAGTAGAAGGCATCTTTTCCTTTATGAGATGACTCATAAAGGAAACGTGTAGAACCCTCAGCATGTAGAAGTAGAGGCTTGTGCTGATCCCCTATACTATTTCACTTAAGTGAAGTAATTAATTTGTTTTAGAAGCAAGACTGAGTAACCATAAGGGCAGGAAATTCCATGCAAAGATCATTACCACAGTCTGCACATGGTTGAAGCTATTTGCTTGAATTATGCTGCAAATTTATCCTTTAAATCTGACGTGGATTTTGAGAAAACCATGGAGTATAGCCATCTCCGTGGTACTGTGTTGCAATGTGAACTGTTCAAATTGAAAATCGAAGGTTGTATAGCAGTTGCTTCCCATGAAAACATGTAATTAATTCATTGATGCTGCTTCCCAAGCTAAGCACATGGCACACGCATTCATTTCTCAGTGCCAAAAGTACTCATAAAGGGAAGCAAAGGACACAAACTGAAGTGTGAACTCAGTAAAACGATGCTTTGTCTGAGTCCTCTGGCTCATGCAAGAATGTTCCTTGTTTGCAATCTGATTGGTTGAACATTTGTCTCAGGAAAGTCTTGTTTTCAAGTTTGACTTTCAGGGCTCCTGCCCTCTCCTCCTGAGAAATACACATTCTGTCCTCCCCAGACACCTTCTGTGTAGTTTTCCTGTCCTGTGTGTCCTCTACACATATAACCTCATCTGTGTCATTAGTCTCAAGTAGAAGATTCCTAGAAGGGAGTCCCTACCATGTTTGTTCTCCTGGGAAGAATTAGCAACACCACTATGCTTTATAAGTTATTTTTTTGGTGTTAGTTTCTCTTTCCTATTAACTAGGACAAGTCAGTTGGTCCTGTTTGCAGGCTCTGGTATACCGGAGAACACTGTGTAGTTGTTACACAGCCCTCCATACAGACAGGAAGCTGTAGCAACTGCGAACCCCCCAGATCTCTTACTGTGGCAATCTTACATTCTTCTGCCAGGATGAGATCTTACTGTTTATCTAGTTGAGTTCCTTTATTTTGCAGATGAGGAAACTAAGGCTGAGAAATATTGAGTAAATGCTCACACATCTCTATGTAGCCTGATAGCGTATGTGGAAATGTGGGTTTAAGATCATTCTTTGACATGTGGATGAGCTGATTCTTTAATACATTCTCTAGTCCAAGGTAGGATGTGTATCACTTGGTTTAGGAATCTCACAAAACAGGCAATCAGAGAGGCTGGTGGATTTCTGAGTTCGAGGCCAGCCTGATCTACAGAGCAAGTTCCAGGACAGCCGAGCTACACACAGAAACCCAGTCTGAAAAGCCTGCAGTCAGTAGGTTCCATGCATTAGTTATACACAGGTCTGTGTGAGTGCGTGACTGTGTGTGTATCTGAGGCAGTTCTGTGCCCACTGTCTGGCTCTTAGTTGTCCCCTTGGCTCAGTCTAGTCTCTCAGACAATCACTGTAACATCAGTGTGTTCTCCATTTGTAAGCAGTCCTATGTCCTTGAATAAGCAAGCTTGATTAACCTTGGTTATCAGGTTCCTTCTCTGAAATTGAGATTTGATATCTGTCCCTTAGAAAGCAATGAACTGATTAATATTTTAGAGGTGGTTTGAGAAGTCAGAATCCAAGTCCACCATGTGGTTGGGGTATGACTTGTGTACTGGGGTAGCTCAGTCTTTCTGGGGTTTGGATCCCTTCAGCGGACATTTGTTACCTTTGAATATTTTTATTAGACAAGTCTAGTATCATTATTATTTTAAAAAATTGAACACAAGGATGGTTAAAAATGTGAGAAGTGTATTTCTCTCCCTCCTGCACCTAGGTAGAGAAAGGTGTTGAGTTAACCCAAAACCTATCTTATATAAGGCAGGCACCAAAGGGGTCAGCCAACTTTATGACATGTGTTTTATAAATGACTTTACTTCAGAAAATTCACTGATAAATTTAACTCCAAATTTAGATGTTGAAGAAATTAAGAAAGGGGAGCCCAACATTGTGGGACCTAACAGTCATCCCAGCACTTGTGTGCAAGAGGAAAGATGATCAGAATTTCAAAGCCAGTCTGTGCTGCTTGGGAATCTATTAGAGAGAGATGAGGGTGGGGAGGGAGTAGGAGAGGCTAAGTAGGGAGAGGAGGGAGGCAGTCAAGAGGGGATTATACTGCACATCCTGCAGTACTGGAAGGGAGATAAGGACACAGGGGTAGATTACTAGCAAGCACTTTTGTCAATTGAGCAGATCTAGTTATTTCCCATGCTCATTCCAGTGTGGACAGTCAGATACTGGGAGCTACCCTGATTTATTTTTCTGTCTATGTCGGTTGGTAGGAATACCTTTGCCTTCGTTACTGTGCTGGACAGTTGGATGTTGTTGGTCAAACTGGAAGCTTTCTTGATTTATTTTCCTGTCTATATTGGTTGGTAGGAATAACTCTGCCTTGGTTACTGTGGTTTTTTTTTTTTTTGTAGTTGGGTTTTGGTTTTTTTGTTTTTGTTTTTTGTTTTTTAATCTTAAAACAAACTAGAGTCCTCTGGAAAGACAGACCTCAATTGAGGAAATGCCTCTATCAGATTAGCCTGTAGGCAAGTCTTTTTCTTGACTAATGATTAAGTGGTAGGGCTCAGTGTGCTTTGGACCGCCCCTGGGCTGGTCCTGGGTTGTATAGGAGAGCAGGCTGAGCAAGCCGTGTAAGTGGTACCCTCCATGGCCCCTGCATCAGCTCCTGCCTCCAGGTCCCAGCGCTGAGTTCCTGCCTTGACTTCCCTCATGACAGACTATGACCTAAGAGGCAAAATAGACCTTTCCTGCCTTCCCTCCCAAAGGTGCTTTGGTCATAGCCCTTATTACAGCAATAGGAAGCAAAGCCAGTCACTGAGTGAATGTTCCGAACCTGAAGAAATGCGAGCTATTTTCTGATAATCACATTAAATTTATGAACTTTTGATCAGCTGCTTTACAGTACTGAAAGTATCACTTGAATGTATTAAAAAAAATCCTCAAACTGTCAACCTTGTAAAATACAAAGAAATCCATTAGCCTTGAGTACAAGTTGCTCCTGAGGCTGAAATAGCATCCATTTATTAGAAAAGAGCCACTGTCAAGAAGGCAGGGGAGCTTATAGCAGGATCTTTGTTAGTGACTAACTTTACCCTCAAAGGTAAACTTAGTTGACCATGAAGTGCACCTGTGATTCTCACCTGCCTGGTAACCTTTTACTAGTGTGTGTCAGAACAGTTTGTTACTCTTAAAATTCCAAAGCCTCTGCAATTTTTCAACATAACCCCATATTAATGTAGCTTGGGTTTAGCATTGAGTAATCACCATTAATCAGATAGACATAGACCTATGTAGTATAATCTAGTTCCTGAGAAACTAATATTTGAAATTTCTACATGTTTATCTATCATCTATGTATCTATGTATCTATCTATCTATGTATCTATCTATCTATTCTCCAAAATGAACAATATCTGAGGCCAACATAGTGCATTTCATAATTAGAATTCACTCCTCTAGTTATTCATGTATTGAATATGTTGGCTTTAGTCAAAATGATGTTTGGATGGATACATTAGGAAAGCCCCTATTAATCATTGTTTCAACAAAACAGAAGTTTGTTCTTTTCTCTCACATGTCAACAATGCTGGCAGAGTGGCTCCTTGGTATCCCACTGACCCATGTCCCTAGCCCTGTGCTTCACTGTCCTCTCCTAGTACACCCCAGGGCATCTCCCGGCCATACTGGAGCTGGCACTCCAGCCATGGAGTCTGCCGAATGGACTAGAACAATACGGAAAGCATAAGGGGAGGAAGGCAGCATCTTCTAGCTCAGTCAGTCCCTCGGAACAGCTCTCAGAATTTCTCTGTACCTATTCCACTTACTTCTCATTGGCCAGAACTTGACTACGGGGAGAGCCATAGCTAACTACAAAGCAAATGGGGACTGTAATTCTAAATTCTGGGCAACAATCTTCACAGCTAACATCTCAGTATTTTGTTACTAAGGAATGAGGGGAAATGGGTATTTGGGGAGATGGCACCACTATGGTTGTGTGTTACATGCTGGGTCTTGGGACTATAATGTAGAAAATCAAACATTTCTTTCTGTTTTGTTATGAGCAATGGTTTCTTAATTTAGAAATCTAGCTTTATTTAGAAACCCTGTTTCTCCTGTGAAGTATCGTTGCTTTATTTGGCAATCTAGTCTGACTTTGCTTTCTTATTTCCTTTTGCCTTTCAGCTGTTTTGGAAAGCAGTAAGGCTTAGATTTCTCCATGTTAACCATGAGCGTGACACTTTCCCCACTGAGGTCACAGGACCCGGATCCCATGGCAACTGATGCCTCCCCCATGGCCATCAACATGACACCTACTGTGGAGCAGGGAGGAGGAGAGGGAGAAGAGGCCATGAAGGACATAGACGCTGAGCAGCAGTACGGAAAGCCACCCCCTCTCCATACAGCAGCTGACTGGAAGATTGTGCTCCACTTACCTGAGATTGAGACCTGGCTCCGCATGACCTCAGAGAGAGTCCGTGATCTGACTTACTCGGTCCAGCAGGATGCAGACAGCAGACATGTGGATGTACATCTTGTCCAGCTAAAGGTAAGGTAGGCCGGTTGTCTGGAAAGAAATCTAAAAATGCCTCTGATACCTTAGTCTCAGTTCTATGATTGCCAATGAGAAAGAGTTCTGGGGGAGGGGAAAGAGTAGCAGATTTGAAGCCATTATTCTTGATGGTAAACACAGATCATCTCTCTTCTAATTTTGCTACACATGCCAATTATCTAGAGCAAAACTGGCCTTTGAGGATCCAACAGAGAGACAAGAAAAGGGAGGGGCATTTTTTGCAGTTTCACAGGAATCGGTTGTGGAAAATAAAGGATCTTATGAACAATTACAAAGGCTTAATGAAAGCCTGTCCTGGTAGAGTATCAAGCGTGATGGTGAACAGGTCATGTGATTAGTACCTTTGGCTGAAGCTGATGCTGTCTTTGAGGCCACCAGTGGCTTCTCCCCTGGTGGGAAGGGTACCGTTCTCCTTGTAGAGTGGGCTTTCATGTGAAGACACTGTACTATGCAGGAGAAAGGAGCTTTTTATAAAAACCGATCTAAAGTCAAACATTTGAAAACCGTCTGTGGCTTCTGGCGACCTTTCGAAAGTGTCACAGCACAGAGAATTGGAGGTGCTAGTGAGATTACAATTAAATGAGGGGCTACAAAAATATACACTGTGACTTCCGCCCTCAAATAGCCTCTTCTGTCTCTCGGGTCCTTGAGGGAAAAAGTACATAGCATAGACCTTATATAAACTTCCCATTAGATGGGGTCCTTAGGAAGATTCTTTTACCTAAGTTGGTTTATCTTCAATGTAGTAAAAGGCTAAACAGATTCTTAGATCTGAAATGATCTACAGGCTCTAACCATCACGGAAGAAAGATGTGCAGTTAAGAGAGAGTATATTTCTCAATGTTTAGAGTGGATCTGGCTTAGCCTTTTCAGACTGGTGCCTCAGATCCTGTGACGGAAGTCTTAGTTACATTCCTATTGTTGTGATAAAGCACTATGACACTATGATGGGGGGGGGGTTATTTCAGTTTACAACTCTTAGGTGACAGTCCATCACTCAAGGAAGTCAGGCCAGGACCTCAGGGAAGGAACCTGGAGGCAGAAGCTGATCAAGAAGCCAGAGAGGAGTGCTCCTCACTGGCTTACTCCTCTTGACCTGCTCAGCCTGCTTTCTTATGGAACCCAAGACCACTAGCTCATGGATGGCACCACCTACAATGAGTTAGGTCCTCCCCGATCAACCAGTAATTAAGGAAATGACCTGCAGGCTTGCCTACAGCCGGATCTTATGGAAGTATTTTCTCAATTGGTGATTCCCTCTCTATTCACATAACTCTAGCTTGTGTCAAACTTAACAAAAACTGACCAGATACCAGATTGCTACATTAGTGTCAAGAAGGGTCAGGAAGGAGAAAGAGAGGTGAGAAGAAAGGGAGGGAGGAATAAGAAAGGGAGGGGACCACGCGCGTGAATGAGTAAGTGTAAGCAGGAGAACCATAATGTGTTAGTAGTTGCTCCCCACTGGTGGTACAGGCCTGGCGTCTTTCTCCTTCTTTCTACAGTTTCATGGGAAGAAGTCACCAGGATGTCAGGGATGTGGCTGGAAGCAGCCTCAGCAAGATGTTAGCTTCTACTAGCCTTTTCCTGTGGCAATAGGCAGTATTGTGACTGGGTCCCAGAAATTACCTATTCAGAGGAGCAGTCCCCGGACATCTTGGGGTCAGACTAGACTAGAAAATAGGGGACACCCCTTCACCCTGCCCCCTCCAGTGCTGAGCGTGGCTTTCATAAGTTAATGCAGGATCCAGCTTGGAAGGAGTCAACTGCTACCTTTCAAATCCTTCGCTTTTACACGGGAAGTTGGTAAATGCCAGAAGAGAAGGGCAAGGGGATGGACATACCTTTAGGAGACTCAGCTAAAAGCACTAGTAATGTTTAAATGGTCTTAAATACTAATTTGCCATCAACTTCATTTAATTAAATCAATAATATACACATGGAAGTCTAAATTGTAGCTCAGAGTAAGAATGCAGAGTTTTGTGCGGTGAATGTATAGTTGTATTTAGTGTTTGAAGAACGGTGTCTAGAGAGATCTGCCTTTTTCATTGTAGTTGACTATCATGGTAGTTTAATCAGAAGCCTTCTCTTTGCTGTCTCTGCTCTATCCCAGGGTGTGGGTCATCTTCTCTGATGAGAAAAGAGCTTCAGGAGATGTGAGGTCAGCACAGTGAGCCTATGACGTCAACCAATCACTGTTCAGTGATGATCTGGAATCGTCAGCCTTCTTTTTATTCTAGGATTTCTCTTAGCACTTCTCTGTAATGTTCTCCCGTTTGCGTGACAATGGAGACCTTCCCCATTGAGCCCAGTGTCAGCAAGCTCCAGTCAGCCTGTGTGTGGCCTCCACTGTGATTTATACAAAGGGCTTACTTTTGAATCTCAGTGTGCTTATATAATTTCCTTCTAGATTATATCATTTTTTCAGTGAAATTTTGATGCATTTAAAATATGTCATCCTTTTGCATTATATATTAATTCAAAATAATAAGGGGAGCTTACCATGGTGTCTGAGTGGAAATGTAAGAGGAGAACCTTTCAAAGCAGCTCCCAAATGAGATTTGTGGCAAAGCAGAGGGATAGATCCAATTTGGGTACCTTGTCCCAGATTCCTTGCTTTGGTTAGCTACTCAATTTATTAATTTGCAGTGAAAAGCCATTGTCATGGGCTAAGAATGCCTATGGCCTTAAAGACCACCTGGGTGCAGAGAAATTCCAACGTTGTGTGTATGTGAACTTTTTTTCTCTGCCCACCAATTCCCAAATAACCAACATAGAGACTCAATATTAATTATAAATGCTCAGCTAATAGCTCAGGCTTATTACTAACTAGCTCTTACAGCTTAAATTAACCCATTTATCATTTATATTAATCTACATTCTGCCATGTGGTATTACCCTCTCTTTCATCTTGCACTTCTGTTTCCTCTTTGTGTCTTGTTGGTGACCCTTCTGACTCTGCCCTTTCTCTTCCCAGTGTCCTTAGTCTGGTTCTCCCACCTAACCTTATCTTGTCCAGCTATTGCCCAGGCAGCTTCTTTACTAAACCAATCACTGTGTAATTTACACAGTGTACAGAGAGATAATTCCGCAGCAGTTGTGTATCTGTTTCAATGTTCCCCTGATGTTACAAGCCCAAGCTTCTTACCTGGCTTCTCTACTTGTGTCTTAGCAGGCATCTCCAATTGAAGATGTCCACCTATTTGCTCTTAGTCCTCCCCTAATTGTCCCAGTTATGGCAAAGGGGCTGACTTTTGCCCATCAAAATCAAGACTCTCAACCCACACATACATCTCTACCAACAGGGAACCCATTCCCCACAGGAGCCCTCAGTTCGTTCACTGCTAGCATTACTGTGGCCAGCCCACCACACCACGCCCTTGCTTGCCTAGGTACTGACAGCCTCGTAACAAATCTTACTTCCTTTTGTCTTTACCACCCTAGCAGCTTATTTCCCACTCGGCAGCTGCTTTTTGAAAGACGTCCATCAGGGTATGCCATTCTCTTGCTTCAGCTTTCTTCCTTCGACTCGTCACTGCCTAAAGTCTGTAGCGGGATGCTTCCCACTTTACCCTTATCTTTAAAGCTCCAGAAACACCAGAGGAAATGTCACGTGACTTCTTGCCTCGTAGCTTTCCTTGTTCCTTTTGCTTAGAGACTCTGTTTCCCCTTTGCTGCATGGCTGACTCTGGATCTTCATCAAGCTGATAGCCAGGATCACAGCCATGTTCCAATATCTGCTCACTGGGAGAGGATGGGCAAACAAGGAGTTGAGGACCATTCTGTGCTTGGTGGAGGGAATACACACACAATCATCTCATTGTCTATGAACCTCCCACTGCCTTTATAGTTCCTATTTTAAGTCATTTAAACATGGTTTTCTCTGCATTATAATAATGTACCCCTTTTAAAAACTTCATTGAAAAAATGGTTTTGGAAAATGTTTGCAGTAGGTTTTATCAATGGTCATATATTAAATTCTTAGACCAGCAATTCCTCATGCCTTTGCTTAAAACACCTGCCTCCTTCTCCTAGGTATTATCTAGCCAGCATGCCATTTTATTTATTTTTATCTTATGCGATTATACTGTTTGTTTGCTTTTTGTGCCAGATTGTCTAGGTCTCTACTATTCCTGTTGCTTAGGACTGGCCAGGGCACTAAGTATGGGATCAGTTCATTTGAAGGGTTGGATACATGTGTTCATGTCTTTATGTCCAGCGCCTCCTTGTGTTTTGAAAAGAATATGGGAAGTGTGCTTTTTTTTTTTTTTTTTTGGATTGTTCCATGAAGACTGAATTCAGATGAAAACATTGGGTAAATCAAGGCTCAAACATGTTTGGGGTATTGTTTTCCCATTACAGAGAATCTGTAAGTGTATCTAAAGTCTCAGATATGGCCTGAGGAATCTGCCCAGAGATTCTCTCTCTATTTCTGTTTTACTGATTTATTGGCAACTATTTTGATCAGTAAATATACCTTCAGGGGCTGAAGGGATAACTTAGTCAAGTACTTGCTGGGAAAAACATGAGGACCTGTGTTCCATCACCAGAACCATGTGAAAATCTTAGTACAGTAGGATGCACTTGTAACCCCAGTGCTGGGGCACAGGACGGAGGCAGTGGAATCCCTGGGTCTTGCTGGTCAGTCAGCCTAGCCTCATCTGTGAGCTCCAGGTCTTTGTCAGAGACCCTGCCCTAACAAATAGGGTGGGCAGCTACTGAGGAGCAATGCCCAAGGTTGAACTATAGCCCACATGTGCATACCCAGGAACACGTGGGCACATACGAACGCATACATACACAATTGAAACATTGAGACTTTTACTCTGACACTCACTTACTTCCCCCTGCCCTCCTCCTGCCCCTGCCCCATGTGGTATCAGAACAAACCCAAGCCTGCAGGTTCTTAGCATCCCCAGCCTCACCCTTATTCTCTAAAGGTGACTTTGTCTGTAGTCATGGTGTTGGTCCTACAGTTT